GGACCTTCCTCTGCTTCAGTTTGTGCCCATTGCCCCTTGTCCTGTTGCTGGGCACCACTGAAAAGAGCTTGGCCCCATCCTCCTGACACCCACCCTGCAGATATTTGTAAGCATAAATAAGATATGCTTACAAAAGATATTTCAGCATCACTCACTCGCCCCTCTTAGGCCAGCACACCCAAGTTGGGCTGGTCTTCATGATACTCCTCAACGCACCCAAGCGCTCTCCCTGCTACAGCTTCACGTGCCTTGTTTGGTAGCCCTGACTACAGGATCCTGCTCATGGCAGGGGGGTTGGAACCAGCTGATCTTCGAGGTCCCTTCCAACCCAAACCATTCTGTGATTCTACAGTGTTACTCAGACATCTCCTCCAACGCACATCAGCCAAAAGACGCACTGTCATCTTTTAAAAGCTACCTGAGGCTCGGTAGCTGGCAAGAGACCAGAGCTGCTGGCTCCAGTGAGAAACACAAGCCAACAGCACATCCACAGGAATCACGGCGAGGGGTTTTTCTTGGTTTTTGTCCAGTTCTGGGCTCCCCGGTTCAAGAAAGATGGGGAGCTACTGGAGAGAGCCCAGCGCAGGGCTACGAGGATGAGGAGGGGACTGGAGCATCTCTCCTAGGAGGAGAGGCTGAGGGAGCTGGGCTTGTTCAGCCTGGAGAAGAGAAGGCTGAGAGGGGACCTTGGAAATGCCTACAAATATCTGCAGGGTGGGGGTCAGGAGGATGGGGCCAGACTCTTTGCAGTGGTTCCAGCCCCGCCTGGCCGTGGTGCTGTGCAGCCTGCTGTGGGTGACCCTGCTTGGGCAGGGGGCTGGGTGGGGGGTCCCCAGAGGTCCCTTCCAGCCCCCAACATTCTGTCATTCTGTGATCCCTAGACAGCACGACGCAGAAACTTTTGGTGCCACCTTTGTGAGCCCGGCCGTGCATTCCAACAGCAGGAAAAGTCCCAGAACGTTCCAGCACCGCACGCGCTACGTTTGAAATATTGTTTACGCTGCTCACGGGTGGGATGGTGCTGCAACCCGAGCAGAAGCACTGGCACTCGTGGCACGAAAGATGCTGCCATCCAGCGACCCACCAGCTGCCCTTTAGCTTTCCATGCCCAGCTTGGCCTCACTCATTTTTTTATATATTATCCACTAAACACCGAGCTGTTAGTTTCGAAATAACATTTGTCAGGTCCCAGTACAATCAAACCTCTGCATTTAAGTTAGCGTTCTCCTAAGATCCCCTTCAAGGGTTTTTTTTCAGTCACTTTTAGTTTAATATTTCAGCTGTCCAGAGGCAAGCTTGTACAAACTATCCAAAGCCAGCAGCACCAGATTTCTCTTCGGCAGCTCCTGATTTCAGCAGCCCCAGGCACTCCTCGTACTCTGTGTCATGCGGCGCGGTGACCCGGCCATCCCAGACACATTGCTGAGCAGATGTTAAATAAAGCTTTCTACTCATTGCTTGAGTTGCATCTAAAAATGTTGTGCGTGTCCCTTCCAAACAATGGAAAATATATTAAATATATTAAATATATTAAATTTTAAATTAGATGCTCAATAAACTGAAAAAGGCAAGACATTAGAAAAAGGAGTCCCTTTTAAAATAGCACTTCAGGATCCATTTATAGAAAACAAACGTTCCAGTGAACCAAACCAAAAAAATCCATTCTGGTTTAGCCTTCATTTGGTTTTGCTTTTTTTATTTTTTTTAATGTGGTATCGTGATCCTCTCCAAAATAAAATTTAAAGATTGTGATTTCACAGAAGAGTAAGACAGTAAAGAAACAGATATTCAAAGTAACACGCATGCTCCCTGGTGACTCATGGAAAGGACTGGAACAAAGCCTACAGAAACCGGACAAAGACCAGTGTGAATGGTACCACCAGGCTGATGCTCCATACAAACACAATCACAGAATCCCAGAATGTTGGGGGTTGGAAGGGCCCTCTGGAGATCCCCCACCCAAGCCCCTGCCCAAGCAGGGTCACCCACAGCAGGCTGCACAGCACCGCGGCCAGGCGGCTGAGTGACAGCGTTACTATAAGGATGATATAGTTATGTCAGATTTAGTGTATAGGCTGTCAAAGTCGTGAAATGACAGAGACTTCTTCTCATGTCCCTGCCTCACCAGTGGCAGACAGGAGAGCGTGCGGGACACTGCAGGAAAGGTAATTTGGCTAAACCACACCTTTGTTTCTAAACGTATCCCCTTTTCCCTCTTTATTTTATGAAAATAAATCCTATGTTTGTGAAACATTGATAGACAAGTGCCACAGGACAAGTCTCTCCCTTTCTTCTACTTCATTTTCTGTTTTCTTTCTTTTATTTCGGGCAGCCAGGGCACGCTGCTGGCTCATGGTCACCCTGTCGTCCCCCAGCACTCCCAGTCCCTCTCCGCAGAGCTGCTCCCCAGCAGGTCCCCCCCAAGCCTGTACAGAGGCAATCCCATGTCTTCTTCCACCACTACAGCACATCCACGAAGGGCCTAAACCCAGCACCAACCTTCAGACTGGGGCAACTTTACCTGACGCCGCAACTTTTGGTCCATCAGTAGCTTCAGCCTCTCCTGGGGACGCTGCTGCTGTCGTAGGAACGAATCCAGGAGCCACTGCTGCGGGGCTTTCTGGGAAACTCGGCTTTATCGCTTCGGTGGCCGTGGGGGGCACTGGGGGCAGAAAACAAAGTTGGATCAAACACTCGGATCTCAGCAAACAGCTTTGTCTTCTGGAGCTGCCAGGGTGTGAATCAGCCTCTCGAGGGGCTGCCCGCAGCAGCAACCCTGATGAGTAAGCTCCCCTACCTTCAGCATCCCGGCCGGGTCGGACTAAAATAGAACTGGGTTTTATTGCCAATTTTCAGAAGATGAGTTTGCGTAATACCTGGAAAAACACTCGTACCTTGAGAGAAGCGACTGCTGTGGCAAAGCTGAGCAACGTTCAGCATCAAACAAGCATTCCAGTTCAATCCTGAGCCCTAGGTAGAGCCACAAGCTCCAGAAATACTTCCTACCTTGGAAGTGTTCAACTACTCTCCTCTTGGCTTGTTCACTAAAATCACCAATCAAGATCCCATGATAGATCAAACATGAAGCCGAGGAAGCTCCAGCTGAACCCGAGGAAGAACTTCTTCCCTCTGAGGGTGACGGAGCCCTGGCCCAGGCTGCCCAGGGAGGCTGTGGAGTCTCCTTCTCTGGAGATATTCCAGCCCCGCCTGGCCGCGGTGCTGTGCAGCCTGCTGTGGGTGACCCTGCTTGGGCAGGGGGTTGGGCTGGGTGACCCACAGAGGGCCCTGCCAACCCCCAACGTTCTGTGATTCTGTGATCGTGATACACATGCAACCTCAAGGGAAATCTGTCCCCATGGAGCTTCAAAGATTGAACCGTAATCAGAATCTAAAGATAATTGGACTTTGTTAAACATTCTGTTCATTATGCACGAGCCCAGATGATGTTTGTTGGTGCCCTCAGCTGCACCGAGCCTCAGAAGCAGTAACGCCCCGCTCTGACTTACCACGCGGGTCAGCAGATTTGACTCTCGGAGGGTACAAAGACTAGAACCCTTCCAGCAGTAGAGTTCCAGTTCTAGAGTTTCTTTTCAGGAGCACATATTATTCACTCTATTTCTTATTTTACTGTAAAGTAGTGCTTCAACACACAGCCCAACTGGAAATTACGGTAATGGAGATGCACAGACCAGAAACACAGTCTGAAATCACAGAATCCCAGAATGTTGGGGGTTGGAGGGGACCTCTGGGGGTCACCCAGCCCAACCCCCTGCCCAAGCAGGGTCACCCACAGCAGGCTGCACAGCACCTCGTCCAGGTGGGGCTGGAATATCTCCAGAGAAGGAGACTCCACAGCCCCTCTGGGCAGCCTGGGCCAGGGCTCCGTCACCCTCAGAGGGAAGAAGTTCTTCCTCATGTTCAGATGGAAAATAATGTCCGTCCCTTTTGTTGAAGGACAAATCAGGTGCCCGCTTGCCGTGCCTCTACGCTAACACGCACAGCGCGGGGAGCAAACAGGAGGAGTGCGAGGAGAGGCATTTCCAAGGTCCCCTCTCAGCCTTCTCTTCTCCAGGCCGAACAAGCCCAGCTCCCTCAGCCTCTCCTCCTAGCAGAGATGCTCCAGTCCCCTCCTCATCCTCGGAGCCCTGCGCTGGGCTCTCTCCAGTAGCTCCTCATCTTTCTTGAACTGGGGAGCCCAGCACTGGACACAGCACTGCAGATGGGGCCTCACTGGGGCAGAGCAGAGGGGGAGGAGACCCTCCCTGACCTGCTGCCCACACTCCTCCGAATGCACCCCAGCATTGGATTCCAATCCAGATGGATTCCATCCATCTGGAACCCACAGAGCTCGCTGCTGAACTTTTTTTTCCACACAGCTACATATGCCAACTTAATTCCCCGAAACGCACGAAAGGGCACGCTTTCATGTGCCCCCAACAGGGCACGCCACCAATATCTACCGGCCTGGAAAGACATATATTCAATTTGTTACCCTAAATTAGCAGCAAACTGCCTAGAAAACGCAGGGTTCTCCCCACCCCTTACAGCACCACACCAGAAAATGCATGTTGAGTAACATCTCTCTAAAATATGTGTTTCTAGTCTAAGTTGATTTGAGAACAGTGATTTACTTAGGTCCCACTTCACTCCCCCACAGCCCTGTGTTTCTGGAAAAGGCAGACAAGGAGAGAAGCTCTGCTTCTATCGATGGTTCCTGCAGATTAAGTCAAAACTATTTTTACCTGGTGACTCCACAAAGAAAGAGGCATCCGGTCCCTTCGCATCGTGCTGAGCTCCCATCCAGTGTTCTTCAGGCACTATGGAAAACAAACACATTTAGTCCTGCTGCTAACACAGCTTTATTTTTTCAGTTGAAGGTATTGACCCTGCTGTTGTGCGAGTTCGTTCTCAGGTAACTTCTCAGTTCCCTCTAAGGATGGTAACAGAACATCATGTTCTTTGGTGATCCTTGTTAGTGCAAGGTCGCATCAGAGAAGAGAGTTACAGCCAGCACTGACTCCAGGACCTGACAGAGCAGGTTCTTTGCTCAGTTCAGCCAGCACGGCATCATGAAAGGCAGGTCCTGCTTGGCCAACCTGATCTCCTCTATGACCAGGTGACCAGCTCAGTAGATTAAGGAAAGGCTGTCATCTACTTGGACTTTAGTAAGGCCTTTGACACTGCTCCCCACAGCATCCGCCTGGAGAAACCAGCTGCCCGTGGTCTGGATGGGTGCACTCTCTGCTGGATGAAGAACCGGCTGGATGGCCGAGCGCAGAGCGTGGGGGGGAACGGAGTTAAACCCAGCTGGCAGCCAGGCACCAGTGCTGTTCCCCAGGGCTCAGTGTTGGGGCCGGTCTTGTTCAACATCTTCATCAGTGATCTGGGTGAGGGGATCGCGTGCTCCCTCGGTCAGTCTGCAGGGGACACCACGCTGGGCGGGAGCGTCGATCTGCTCGAGGGCAGGAAGGCTCTGCAGAGGGGTCTGGGCAGGCTGCATCCATGGGCCGAGGCCAACTGTGTGAGGGCCAACAAGGCCAAGGGCCAGGTCCTGCCCTTGGGTCACTGAGGGGAGACCTTCTCGCTCTCTGCAGCTCCCTGCCAGGAGGGTGCAGTGAGGGGGGGTTGGTCTCTGCTCCCCAGGAACCAGCGACAGGACGAGAGGTGATGGCCTCAAGCTGCGTCAGGGGAGGTTCAGCTTGGAGATTGGGAAAAATGTCTGTGCTGAGAGAGTGGTCAGGCCTTGGGCCAGGCTGCCCAGGGCAGTGGGGGAGTCCCCATCCCTGCAGGGGTTCAAACATCGTCTGGATGTGGCCCTTGGGGACATGGTTGAGCAGGCATGGGGGTGCTGGGGTGACGGTTGGACTTGATGATCTCAGAGGTCTTTTCCAACCCATGATTCTATGATTCTTCTGGGCAATTGGCTGTAGGTGGCCTTGCCTGAGCAGGGGGGCTGGAACAAGATGACCTCCAGAGGTCCCACCCAACCTCATTCATTCTGTGATCTCCTAACATCTTCAGAACATCCACACTGAACCAAGAACTACCACTGCCGATGGGATACTTTCTCCTCTTGCCTCGTTTTACTTATCAACTCCCCCTCCAAGATTCTTTAGGACTAACACACAAAACTCCTCCAGCTGCAGATCCTTCAAACCCAGCCAGCAAGATCAACATCTGCTTCTTACCTGCTCTGTCTTGCAGGAATTCTGTAGCTGAATCCAGGCCGATGAAGGCTGATGGGTCCAGAGCCTCTGCAGGAGAATACATGGGCCCCAAGAAAGGTTGTTCAGGTGCCACCATAGATCCATGCGGTGCTAATGAAACAAAAAGACCATTTATTAATTGCTGTGCTAACCCTAACGACTCCCCTCCAAAATTTCACGTCTATACCACACTTGGAAAATAAAAACTCTTCTGCGCTGCTCACAAGCTGTTTAGATAAAGTCTGCAAGCAACTCTCTCTGCTAGCTCACCTTTACAAACTGGACTGTAAATTATGCATGCATATATAATTTTTTAACAAGGTATAAGGTCGGTAAACACAGGGAAATTCTCTCCTTTCCGCTTTCTGCTCCCTTGAAGTCTGCTTAATAACGGCTTCAACTTCAACAGTCCGAACAGAGAAGACCACTTTGCAGAAATATTAATGTGTGTCTGGTTTCTAGCCATGAAGAGAAGAGCCATCGATAACGCCTCCTTCAGGTCCACTTCACAGAATCCCAGCAGGGCAGGGGTTGGAAGGCACTCTGTGGGTCATCTAGTCCAACCCTCCCACCGAAGCAGAGTCACCTACAGCAGGCCACAGAGGACCTTGTCCAGGCGGGGCTTGAATATCTCCAGAGAAGGAGACTCCCCAGCCCCTCTGGGCAGCCTGGGCCAGGGCTCCGTCACCCTCAGAGGGAAGAAGTTCTTCCTCGGGTTCAGCTGGAGCTTCCTCTGCTTCCGTTTGTGCCCGTTGCCCCTT